TCAAAAGCCATCTGAACAGAGTCCTGGGCAACGTGCCCGAGGTGATCTGCTTGAGGAGGTGGTTTCGACTAGAGAATCTCCAAAGGTCCCTTCCAACCTCAACCGTTCTGTCATTCTGTGGGCAGTTAGCATTAATTAGTTCAGTGCTGGTGAGTCAGTTATCCAGCAGGGGACCATGGACATCTGCAATGACATAATGAGGTGGTTTTGCTGTGATTTGTCTACATCAGCAGCATCTCACAGATGATAGCTGGGCTTTCAGAGAAAGGGTAGGCCAGGGCACTGCCTCCCCATCACTGGGAGTGCATGCACTGCTGCACACTGCTCCACGATAGCATGTAGCCCAGGACACAGGGCATGGGTAAAACAAGGATGCCCCATTTGTGCCCATCTGTGCCAGACATGGTGGTTTCCGTGAGCAAGCACCAGCTAACACATATGCAGCTTCATAGTTAGTAAAATACCATGGCACATGTCATATGAAGGGTTTGCACTGCCTATCACGCTAGTTTTTAAAAAACCTTTGAGGTAAGAAACTTCTAATCTCAATGCAATCTGCAGTGTGGGTACGTTTTATAGATTGATTTATGTGCAATTGATTTCTTTGCCCAATTAAATCTCAAACAGAGCTCTCAGCACTAGCCTATTTGGAAGAGCCATTACATTGATTTGGGGAGGTTGCCTGCTGGTTTTTTTATACATCAGTAAAATCTTTTGGCATAATGTGTGGCTTCCTGTTTCCTCTCCTTGAGTGAATAATAGCAAGTACTAAAAGAGGGAACTTTAATCAACTCCCAAGCTTATGGAAAGACAATCCTAAGAAGAGGCCAGGCTGCCTATCGCTTGCTTCCACAGTCTGAAAATGTAATATATCAACTACAGCAAAAGCTCAGGGAGGAAAACACAGGCATCTTCAGTGCTCGCTTCTTGCTGGTTATGCCAAGGTGCTGGGCAATGTTGGGTTCTCCATGTCCAGAGCAAGGAGGTGACCGCCACACCATGGCCTGAGGGTTTGCAGTGCAGCAGCTGGAGAGGTCTGATCGCAAGAGCAGAGCCTTGTTCTGCCCTATGGGGCTAATTCAGCGCACGGAGAGGAGTATGACTGATGGAGGCAAGTTTGCTACAATTCCTAACACTTCATGCTCAAAGAGAGTAACTAACACCTGCATCTAAACATGGCATCGCACAGAGAGCTTGAGAAAGTGACTCCCCTGCGTAAAAGAGGTGACGCCAGCAGGAAACCCACAGTGGCGCGTAACTCACCCAGCAGCTGTCTGAGGGTTGGCTCATCTTTCCTGGGTAGCTGCCTCTCATTGGAGTCAGTGGGGAGAGACTGGCACCTATCAGCAAGCTCCATCACGGGTGAGGCAAGGGTTGGGGTTGCCAACACTGGCTTACAGGGAGGCGAGCTCAGATGTTGCCGTCTCCACAGGAGACATTCAGACTCCATTCACAGAGCCTAAACTTGGCTCTTGGACCTAGCACCACAGCTCTGCAGGATGGCAGGGAGCCTACAAAGACTTGGGGTGGCCGGGAGAAAGAACTTGTTCAACCTATTCATCACTGACCTGGAGGAAGGGACAGAGCGCACCCTCAGCAAGTTCGCTGATGATACTAAACTGGGGGGAGTGGCTGACACACCAGAAGGCTGTGCTGCCATTCAGAGGGAGTCCAACAGGCTGGAGAGGTGGGCGGAGAGGAACCTCCTGAAGTTCAACATAGACAAGGGCAGGGTCCTGCACCTAGGGAGGAAGAACCCCATGCACCAGGACAGGCTGAGAGCCTGACCTGCTGGAGAGCAGCTCTGCAGAGAAGGACCTGGGAGTGCTGGTGGACAAGAAGTTAAACATGAGCCAGCGGTGTGCCCTTGTGGCCAAGAAGGCCAATGGTCTCCTGGGGTGCATTAGGCAGAGTGTTGGCAGCAGGTGGAGGGAGG